CTTCTCTGGGTTTCCAGGCCTTGGTTCCGAGAGCTTCTGATGGATGCGGACGCCGAGGCTTGGAATAAGGAAGGTACCGGATTCGAAGACCAACATGCGACATTGCAGAAGTTCATCAGTGCTAAAGTCAGGGTTCTCAAACTTCGGCCTCTCGCCACCAGTTGCAATCCCCCTGTGAAGGCTTTCGTCGCGGCGTGCAGGGCGGTCGCATCACACTACCGCCGGACTGCGCAGCAGCATGCACTGGGCCCGGGGTCTCGGACAACTGCGAGACAAGAATCAGGTCTTTGTCAAGTCCACTCCACCGTTCGGACAGAGTGCAACCTTGACCTGGACATGTAATGCAGCTCCATGTAGTCATGTGGCCTACATTCCGAGCTGCAAGTCCCTGCCCTCAGCAAGGTCTCGACACGACAGCGGCGCCATGCAGGCTGTGCCAGCCGAAGTACCATATTTGACGTGCACAGGAGATCCTCAGATCCGCATAAACAACACAGTGAGGGCGTGCGTCGGCTAAGTTCATGGGTTTTGCAACCTGTTTAGATGTCCCACCTGATGCCATCGCGTCCGAGACAGCAGCCTTCAAAGCTGCAAGCCTGAAGCCTGAGCACATCCTGCGAGCTCAGCACTCTTGAACCGAATGGAAAAGTAAGTAACTGAGTTAAAGTGTAAGTGTGTGCGTGTGTGTAAGGAAACGTGCAAGTGCATATGAATACCCAGCTACGCAAGTATGTGCGCCAACGCACTGCAATCTGTCTATTACGTTTAATTAAATACAGTATTTGGTGTGAAGTTGCTCCGATGCCATGCCCTGCCATGCCATGCCATGCAATGCAACTGAATGCATTGCAAATTGAAAGGCAAATGCAAGTGCAAATGCAATGGAATGGACTGGACTGCACTGTACTATAATGTAGTGCAAATGCAATGAGGTGTAATACAATGCGCAATGCAATGCAACGTAATGTAACGTAATGTAATGTACGGTACGGTACGGTAAGGCAGGACAAGGCCAGGTAAGCACATCCCCATGCGTACGGGCACATGCACAGCTCCCCTGGGGGTTGTCCTCGGGCTCGGCCAGGCCGTGGCTGAAGGGCTTTCTTGAGAGGCTCCAGTCCCCGGGCAGCGCAGAGAGGCTGAAGGAGGCCCCGATTTCGGGATGGTTTCGGCTTGGAGGTTTTGGCGTGTCGGGCCCGCGGGCATGCAGTGTTTTTGAGCTCGACGCTCGGGCCACCAGCCTGCTGGAGACGAGGTCCTGTTTCGTCCCTTACAGTCTAGACTAGACTACTAGACTCGACAGAAAGCAAAATGAAAAAGGTAAAATAGCGGCGCACGTTCGCAGGTAGGTGACCTGCCTGCGGATTGACTTGCCAGGATTTCCCAGGTTCTCGGAATGCGCCCATGTTCTAGGTCCCAGGTCCTAGGTGATGTCTCTGACAGCTAAGTGCAGTCCTTTCGCAGGCTGCCGAGCTGGCGGCCGCGGTGCTGGCAGCTCCCAGGCAGGGTCTCCCATCTCCATGGTGGTCTTTACTCCACATCCTGAGTGCGAGACGCGTGCGCACAAGGCCTTCTTCCACGTCACAGCGCCACGAGGCCTCTCCTGCACCTCGGGATTTGCAGCCTTTCCCAGCCAAAGACTCCGCATAAGCTGGCAGTTCTCTGCGAACAAGAGGCAGGGTGCTCTTTTTTCTGCTTTGTGCCTTTCTGTCCGACCGTGCATGTTGCTCTCTGTGCATGGAACGACCCCGGCCAGTTCTTCGATGAGTTGGCCCTTCTTCTGCCGACGCCCGGCGCCGAAGCTTTGCTTCGAGGCTGCGAGGCTGCGGCCATGCATGGTTGGAAGCTTCGCAGAGGTCTTTTGGGAGGATTCATCGAGGCTTCCGGTTGTCCGGTTCCGTGCAGCCTGGCCATGAGTTTCGAGCTGTGCTGCCAGCGACACATAGCGACACTTGTCTTGAACGGTAGCCATAATATGGCCCGCATACCCACGCGCCACGACAGACGGATTCCTGGGCTTGGGGCAGGGGTGCCCTTGCACAGTTTCAAGTCGGCAGGGGCACGGTGCACTTCAAATGGAGGACCTCGAACAATTGAGAAGCATGGCGGCGCGGCTGCAGAATCGCGCAGGTTGTGAGCAATGCAGGAGTTTCAATTCGACAGGTTGGGAGTACTGCAAGAGCCTCCTGCTGTGATCTCTGTTTCTTCTGCTGTTGCTGCTGCTGCTGCTGCTGTTGCTGCTGCTGCTACACCGTCTTCGCATCGAACTGCTCGATCGAGAAACCTCAAGCTCAGCTTGCCACAACACACTCGCCAAGGTGGCACCTGCGCCGCTGGAACCAGACGTCCTTGAGGCACCTTCAGGTGTTTCCTTAACGCTACACGTTTGAAATTGCAGTCGGCCAACAAAGGGCTCGAACATTTCACTGATTCAAGCACTTCGAAGGATTCAGGGTTCACAATGTTCCGATAGCTGGGGCGACACGGCCTTAGAAATGTGTGTCTCAGAACCTTGTACAGTGGACACTGTTCGTGCATAAATATGTGACATTGACAGCACTCAAGCCTGCCATATGTTGGGTCCGTGAGAGGTGCCCCGTTCGCCAAGCGTGGAGCACAATAGCTTGTTTGCTTCGCCGTTCCCTCAGAGATGTTGAACGGAGCTGTGGATTTTCTGTTCTAGTCACATGTCATTAGTCACTAATCTTGGACCACTTGCTGACCAAGATTACTACCCCCCCCTCCCCCCCCCACCCGATCCTCAGCAAGATTACCAAGATTACGCGTAATCTTGTCAGGGTTCGAGGGTTTGGGTTTAGGGTTTAGCGGTTTGGGCTTATAAGGGTTTTAAGGTTTCAGGCTTATGCGCGCCTGGCGTGCGCATCAGTTTAGGGTTTAGGGTTTGGGGGCGCGCAGGGCGCGCGCATCGATTTAGGGTTTAGGGGTTTGGGTTTTGGAGTTTTGGGTTTTTAGGGCTCTAGGGTTTTACGGTCAAAGGTTCAGGGTTTTGGGGTTTAGGGTTACGCACACCCGGCGTGCCCATCATCGGTTTAGGTTTGGGGATCAGGGGCGCGCTCGGGGTGTGCATGGTTTAGGGGTTTTAATTTAGCGAGATGGGCGTCTGAGAGCATTGTGATGTGAGAACAGGACGATATCCGAAATGGATTCTCTGCGGCAGCGCACCGCACGGCACCAGACGTCATTCCCCCCCCTACAATCCCCGAAATGCCGTCCGTCCCTAGGCACGTAAAATCCGAAAAGTGCTGTCTGTACCTAGGCACTGAGGGCGCGGGCCTCCTCGTACTACTGCGACGACTACTACGACTCTTAAAAAATTATCATCGTCCTCATATGCTCATAAGGGTGGTAGTAGCCTTGGTTTATTGTCTGACTTCTACGATCGCTGCAATGTGCTATTCCACATCATTGTAGAACGGATATTGTGCACACGTGATTCTGCGTCCGACATGGAACCGCCGAAAGTGCAAAGCTGTACATGTGTCACGTCTTCCTGCTGGCTTAGATTCGATGGCCTTGCCTGCTGTGATGCGGCCTCTCACGTGTTTGCAAGTGCTCATCGAATCTTGTGTGGCGTTTCGAGTTTGGTGCTTTGCATGTGCAAGAGCCGTTGAACTTTGCCTCAACAAAAACATCTGCTCACCTCGGAGGCCTTTAAGGCCAAAGGCATCGGGGCTCGAGGACGTCTTGTTTCCGTGCTTCAATCCAGCTGATTCATGACGCACCGGCGGTTTGATGGTGGAACGTTGGGCTCTGGCTGCCAAACTTCCGTAACCCGAGATCACTCACACGAGAATTACTGCCCCACATGTTCCTGCCGACAGGATCCGCTGCGGCTGCTCGGCACGAGCTCTCCCAAGTCCTGGCGCCAGCGACTTGAGGCTACTCTGGACGAGGGCGGCCATGTCATGCAGACCGTAGTGTGGGCCTTTAGGGCATGTATGGCAAATGTATGGTTTATGGCAGGTTGCAACGCACAGATTTCATTCTCAAGAACTTCGGCTCCCGGTCAACAAAGGTCTTGCGGAACACAGTGCAAAGTTGACAGAGTGCCAGCACCGTTTACACTTTTCGACAGGCGCTGGAAGCCATCCAAGGCGCGGTGATGCTTGCCGGCCGTGGTACTAGTTGTAGCAGCAGAAGATTGAGAGAGTATTCACACAGGATTTAGTAAGGATGAGTCCTGGTGGTGATGATACTCGTGGCAACAGCAAGTGTATTACCAGCATTGATGTCCGCACCGCCACCGTCACCAGCAACACCACTCCTCCATCGCCACCACCACCGAAGCCGCCAGCGCCGCCACCAGCGCCAGCGGCAGCAAGCACCCCTGCTGTAGCCACATTTTCAGGCTGCTTGTCTCAGAACAATACGCTACATGTGGCACTTGGCAGGGCCAGATGCAGACGGTGTCCACGGCCAGTTGCTGTGGCCACAGCTGGTACTTCAGGCTCTGTGGGTGCAACTCTTCTCGGTCTCTTTCTGCCCCTTTTTATTCTCTGCTCCCTCCCTCCCGCACCATCCGAATCCTGGTGGGACTTCTACACCGCAATGCGGGCTATGACCAGCTCCCCCGTCTGGCAGGAGTGTGTAGAACACCGGGCAGGGCAGTGTAACTTGCTGAGTCCCTGCCTGCTGCATGCCCACACTCTGTGTCAATGCTTCGTTTTCTGTGCTGCCCTCAGCGTAGTGGCTGCATGACATGTTTCTTCATGACGTCTCTCTCTCTCTCTCACACTCTCTCTGTCTCTCTGTCTCTCTGTCTCTCTCTCTCTCTTGCTTTCATCCTTGAGAACATGCCTGCCCGCCCGCTCCCCCGAACTCTCGGTCTCACTCTCTGTCTCTTTCCCTCCCCTTTCTCTCTCTCTCTCTCTCTTTCTTTCTTTCTCTTTCTCTTGCTCTTTCTCTCTCTCTTCCTGCGCCGGCCTCTCTCTGTCACTCGCGATCTCACGAATTCTGTCCGCGAAGACTCTCCACCGAAGGCAGAGGATGACCATCCGGCCGTGGCTGCGGCATCGCTGCGCTGTCTCGCACGCCTGGCACCCCTCTTGTCCGCACCAGGGGCAGGGGCCCCAGTACAGGGATCTGCAAAACGGGCCCTTAAGTGAGTGCACCGATGATGACCCGACCATGAAAAGAGTGCCTCGATGTGTCAGGATCACTTGCTTGCTCGCCTCGCATGGGCCGTGAAGGCCCGCGCGAAGGAGCGCCGGAAGCCTCCGGGACTTGTGGGATCTTGTGGGTTGATGGCCGGTGCGCTCGTATTGCCAAGAGATGTATACCCATGTTTTTTGCGAACGCTCCAACAGCTGGCCGCCCAACACACACCTAGCGCAAACTACACCGATCTGACACGAGTATGTGCACCTTCGGCGCAGTGGCTGTCAGCACTGTTATGGCAAGTTGTCAGGTTCTGACCAGCCGGCACCCTGAAACCGAGCCAAGTCTTGCGCGCAGGGTCGTCTGCGGGACCAAGAGGCTGTCCGGGTGCTGCTCGGCGCCACGGCAAGGCCACGATTCACAGCTCTGCATGTGGCGGTTTCTACTCGCAGTGCAGGTGCCCCCGTGCAGTCGGGGGCCCAGCCGGCCTGGGTGCCTTCTTGGGCTTGGCCCTGAACCTCCAGAAGGCGCGGGCGGACATGAGGTGGGAACTCCCGAGACACTTCACAGACCGCCCCTCATTCGGAAGGACCGTGCGAAAGAAGTAGTGCTGGAGCTGATGGCGGAAAGGCACCGGTGCTGGAAATGCCTGTCTTAATTTGGATGCGTGAACAACTCAGAGCTTGCACAGCAGTATCTTGTAGCTGCACCACAGGCGATTTTCTGGGGCACAGGCCCAACTGGACTGTGGCACAAGGAACCTCCTGCAGCGCTCGTGAGCATCCGGGACTTTCAACCAAAAGGCAGATCTTGTAGGCCGTAGGTACCTTTGCATACTATGCTCCCAGTATGCCCAATATCCTGAGCCATACTGATCAACTTGTTTGCCTCAGCCAGTTCACGAATTTGTAAGGAATATCAGTCATGATAGACGGTAACGTCTTGCTTAGCCACCTCGGAGAGCTTCTCAGCAGCTGCAGCTTCCACATATAGGCACCAGCCTGCGGGTGCTGCAGGCCGGGTGTAACAGCATGCAGGCCTGTCTTTTGGTTCATTTAGAGTTTGCCAAAGGCAACTTCCATGCAGGAGGTTGGGGCTTGTCAGTTTTTTTGGGTACTTCCGGAACTCATCTCTGCCTGCGGTGAGCACATTGACGAGCATGAATGAAGCCTTGCAGATCAGCAGACTTGCCTCGCACTTCAACTGTGCCAACGATTGTTTTGCTGGAAGACCAGAACACGTGTCCGGCTGAGCCACGAGGCTGTTTACCAGCGCCTCTTGAGGCCTTGCTGCAGGACATGCTTCGCTTTCGTTGGTCTCAGACTGAGAGTTCACAGACGACGTTGCCGGAGGATTTGGGGAAGCTGCGGCCGCCAGAGATCCGACGTGGAGGCTGTTCGGGTTTGGGATCCCGGTTTGGGATCCCAAGCACCCGAGCAACAGCGCACGACAACACTCGACAGGCATGTGGAGCCAACAGCCAGGCAAAATCATTTGGGCTCTTCAACATATTTAGCCATTCTCGACCTCAGCGCAGAAACAAATCTGACACCGTTTTTGTCTTGAGTCCTGTGATGTCCTGGTCCTGGTCTTCTTTTGCAACCGGCTCTGCTTGCAATTGACTTAGGTCTCCGGTAGCCAAGTAACCAAAAGCCCATGATGAAGCAAGCCAGGATCCACAAATAAATAAATAAATAGAGAAATAAATAAATATAGATACATGAATAAATAAATAAAGGGCCTCGCTACCCCGTCCTTCTCTCTCCCCACCTCCAAAATCCGTCTGCCCTGGCAGGGCTGACCCTGAGCGAGAGCCCGGTCCGCAAACGGGCACTCTGCTTGGGTAGCCCCGAGTTCTGCCGGCAGAGCCCCAGGCAGGCGAACGCGGGAGAAGGGCGTTGTCTTTGCTGCTCGTGGTTACCTGAACTCCGTGAGCTCAAGAATTTGGGAAATTGAACAGATCATCAAGGGTATGGCCTTGAGACCCTCGAAGCTTGAATCCCCATGTCACCTCTGTCAGGATCTCTCCTGTGCAGAAAGCCACACCTTCCACAACCTCACCGGGGGCATTCCTATCCTTTGCTGAGGCCCCTTGTCTGACAACTCGCATATTCCTAGCTTTTGAACGTGCGACGTGCTTCGAAGTGAAGCAGAGGTTTAAGGTGGTCGCTGATGGTTCGCTGTATTTGCACCGTACCACCACTGCACGTGTTGTAGTGTGGTGAGAGATGACAAAGTTTAGATCCAGGGGACGTGCTGGCTAGCATCACTGTGCTGGACGGCCACTGCAAGACGGGGAGTGCTCTCCTCTCCCCACTGCGTTCCCCAAGCCCAATGCCACGTCTCTTGACTTGAGTCCCTGAGGCCCTGCCGGATCCTGACTCGGTTCCGCCTGGCCCACAGAGGGAATACAGGAAGCGGGAGTTCTGGAAGAAAGTCGCAAGGACACGCTCCCCTCTAGTGCCCTTTGCCGCGGCTTCTCGATTGGTTGAATGGTTAGTTGAACCGTCGAGTCTCAGAGGCCTCTCTGCCGGTACGCATCGCCAGTGAAGCCTTGGAAGCAGGCTCAGCGTCTCAGAGTTTGGCTTTCGCCTATAGTTCGGAGACGAAGATTCGCACATTTGCATACTCAGCAGCGAAAGCTTCCGACCATTGCGACGGGGCACTCGGCCTCCTTTGCCCTTCGGATCCTGCTCGAGAGGTCAGCCACTGGGAGGCTCGCACGCCGGACACCACCCGAGGTGGGGCTCTTCTTTCAGTGCTTGGAGAGTGCGGGTGGCCTCCCGGCCTGTGAGGCAGCGCCACCTCGCTGGGGCCCTCGCTTCCATCGGAGTCGCGGCTACTGAGCCTCTCTCAGGCTTGGCCCGGGGTTGTCGCGCTGTGTCGCGGTGAGGGGTAACCCAAAAACTCACAGCTTCGTGGCCTGAATACCTCCTTCACAGTGGCTCATGTTTCTCGAAGGCCCGCAGCATTGTGAGCCCAGGTTGAGGCGACTGAAACCCTCGTCGAAGCCCTGAACCCTACAGCCCCGGACGAGCTGCGAGAGAGAACCCGCCTTCTTGGGAGGCTCCCTCGCCTGAATATCTCGGTGAGACACAAAGTACGGTGATGGGGACATCACCGGAAGACCAGGACAGAGATGTTTGCAGATTTCAGATTTCTGGAGGCTTCGGGTCACCGAGCAAGGTCGGCGAAGAAATGATTCGCATCTTGCGATGAAGAAGCATGAGACATTTCACGCTTGACGCCTGCGAAAGGAAGAGCCAATCAGCCCGGAGGCTCCGAGGAAAGAGTCGGAAGACGAGGCCCGGACCAGGGCAGAGGATTCTGGGGTTTACCACGAAAGCTAGGATGGGGTTAGGGCTTGGAAGCTTAGGCTTGGGGGCAGTGCGAGTTTGAGGATTTAGGGCTTAGGACTGAAGGCTCTAAGAGTCTTTGAGGCCTAAGCTCTAGGAATTTAGGGAAGAGGGGCGTTCCGAGGACGCAGGGTCCAGGACTAGATAAGATTTGGGGTGAGGGCTTGGGATTTGTGGTAGCCGGAAATTGCAGATTTGGGGTTTAAGATTTGGCAGGGTTTTGAGGGTTTAGGGTTTTGGATTTGGGGTTTAGAATCTCGAACATTCGTAGATGCCAGGGCTTGGTGGTTTAGTGGCTTAGTATGATTCAGGGTGCAGGGCTTGGGAATTGTGGCCTACCAGGGCTCAGGATTGAAGGTTTTGAGAGTCTGGGGTTTGGGGTTTCAGGTTTGGGCTCGACGAGGCTTCAGTCATGTTTGGATTCAGGGTTTAGGGCTCAGTGAGATTTAGGGGTTAGACCTTGGGAAGTGTGGTGGTACGAGGTTGACGACGTTTAGGGTTTAGTGCTGCGCGTTTTGAGAATTTAGTATTTAGGGTTTTGGATTTGAGGTTTGGACTCGAGGATTCAGGGTTTAGGACATATTTTTGGGATTCAGGGTTAAGGTCTCAGTGAGATTTTTGGTCTATGGCCTAGGATTTGTGGTAGTGAGAGGTTGAGGATTTCGGGTTTTAAAGTTTAGGATTGCAGGTTAAAGCGCCTGGGGCTTAAATTTATCCTAGGCGCCATAAGGTTCAGCATGCAGGGTGTAAGAGGTGGGTTTGAGGGTTTCCGTCGCAAGGGGGGGTGTCAGGGTTGAGGGTGTCGGGGTTCAGGATTTGTTTTCAGACTTCAGGATGCAGTTTGCTAAGGTTTAGGCTTCAGGGTTTGGGGCAAAGAACTCGCGGGTACAATTCTGGGCAAGTCGGACAGCACGTAGACATATTCAGGCATATACATGAATTGGGTGGCGAGTAGATGAGCAGCACTTAGAGACGAAAAAGCGCCGGCAAACCAGCAATCCATCATCGAACAGATGAACGAGGCAGAGCCCGACGAAGACAAGGACGAAGACACAGACGATGAGGCGGAGGGTGAGGAGGAGGCTCGACGGCCCAGTGGAAGAGCTGGGATACGTTCTGTGAGATGCTGCCAGATGGTGGTGGACAGACACCTGCACCGAGACAGAGACACAGACTTGCTTGCGACATCTTGCGACACTGTCTGTATTCCCATGCCAGGTTAGGTTTTTCAGATCTGGAAAATGGGCACCAGGTTGTCTTTGCCCTTCGCTTTGCGGCTTTTCTTAGTTGGAGTCTACTGCTTCTCACACACACCTTTGCCCCTAAAATCGCAAAAAATAAGAGAGGTCTCTCTTTCAAAGTGAGCCCTTTTGGCGCCCTTGGCTTCTCGCAAAAAGGCCCGGGAGTCGCTGGAGTCTTTCCTGAAGCGGCTGGCAGCAGAGACCCCGCAGGCCGGGGAGGGGGGGGTTCAGAGTGGGTTCCAAGTGGGCCGGTTCCAGGTCTCCGGATTTTGGGGCTCAAGGACCAGCTGCTAGGGCCTTGAAACCTGGGCTGTTTTGGACATCTGGTGGGGGACACCCCGCCCCGCCAAACAGTTCAACAACGCTGCGCTGAGACTCCTAAGGGGTTACAGGCCTCAGAGTGTAGTGAACTGCTCGACCCTATGACCGCGAGCAGCTGGATCTCCGCCCAACACTAGGCAGGTAAGTTTATGTAGAACCTCCAGTTTGCTTTCATACCAGAAGCTGGTTATTGCAAACCGTGCAAGCAGTTCAACTATCAGCCTCCAACCGCGTGGAGGATTGGGCAAAGAAGGGCAACCCGGTCGAGAGGGACTATAGCATAGAATGACTGAAATTGAAAAAAACAACCGTTCGAAGGATTTGCCGACTTTCAGATTTGGTGACTTTGAGAAGGATAAACGAAACGCTCGACAAGGATAACAGTTTTTCAGAGGAGACCGGTTCGATTGACAGTTTGCAAGAAGATCGAGCTCCTTGAGCGGCAGGATTTTGAGCCGATTCATTCAAACGTTGTTAAAACCAGCCGCAAATCCGGTTTAAATCTGGTTAGAGACTTCTCTTAATGCCCTGAAATCGGCAAAGGGATCTTGTCGGGCCGGTTCTAGCATTTCGACGCAGCCTTAGGTTCTCTCGGCCGGAGCCCAAGCCAGATCCATGCGTACGATATTTGAAAGACATGTTGTTTGCATGTGCGATTCCCTGGCATTCGCGGAGCCTTCGTGCCGTTGGGGGTACTACATGTTTTTTGCTCACTTGTTGCGCCGCAGGGCACTGCGCACTTGCCACGGCATGCTAGCCAAAGCCCTTCGGGAAGCTTCCAGCGTTTATGATCGACATATGTTTGGCCTGGCAGACGATTGATCTCCCCCGCTTCTGGTATCTAAACACGAATTAATGCACATGCTCGGACAGTCGGATGGGAGCGTTGCTGACAAGGCTTGGGCCGTCTGAAGATAGTTGGACCACGAGTGCCACGAGCTGTCTTCAGCTATGATGTGTAGCTGCAGACGGCAGCCCCGCCTTCTCACCAACTCTGATGTTGTGACACGGAAAGGACCTGGCCAAAGCCTTGGCGAAGACCTGGTCTGACGAGGCCGCACGTGGGAGCCCCGGAGTTCGTTTGCGAGCGGAGCTAATCTTTCTTAAGTGCGCGTAGGAAGGCTTTCGACTTCATAAGTGGATTGCACCAAATCGTCGTCGGTCGGCGGGGCTGGTAGTGCCTGGGTTTCCAATTGCTAATTCGCGACCTGCAGGAAAACGTGTGACCTCTAGCCCCAGCTTGATCCTGCAAACGCAGGGGCTAGTCTAAAGAGTCTAAGGTCTACAGAGCAGCTCAGCGTGTAATTGCCTCCGTGTCACTTGCCTCTGCACCGCTGCTTCTTCTCAGCCCGAAAGCCGAGAGCCAAGCGAAGCCTCGCTGCTCGCTGTCGGGCCACTTTTTTCAGTTCCTCGCTTCCGCCATGGAGGACAGCCTCGCAGCTAGGACCTAGGAGCCTTCGAACCAGCGTCGCAAGACACGAGTTTCCGCAGGAGATCAACTTTAAGTTCGCGGACCGTGCCGAAGTACCGGGATGGCTTGGAGTGGACGTGCAGTCAGAGGCAGCACGAGAGATCGGGCTTGCTTGTTGAGGGCTGATGTCGTGGCTGACAGCCCGTTTTTGAGAGGGCTGTAGTTGTTTGCTGTCGTCTCGGATATGCGAGGCAGCATTCAGCAATAGACGAGAAGATGCCACACATGGCATAATGTGCGACAGCAGTTCATCACCCACTACTACCACGAATCATCGCTCCGACATATCTCAATAAAGGCACTGCATATGATATCAAATACCGACATTCCACTATCGTGTGCTAGACTACAGCGTTCAAGTCTCCGACAGCCGAGAGGTGATGGGACGTATCCTGGAGGTGAAGCCGGACAGGATCCTGTTGGCATCTCGCTCCGCAGTTTCGGACCCTGTGCCTTCGGAGTGTCTTCACCTTCAGGCGCTTGAGGCTCTCGCTGGTATTTGACAAGGGCGGTCGTCTTTGAAAGATGTAGGTTTTGAAGGCTTCAGGCGCAGGATAAGGGCGGCTGCTAGTCGCGAAATGCGCCTCCGGGGGGTCGGGGTTTACGGCTGAGGAGCACCTCAAATCCGCAAGTCCTGATGTCAAGCTGTAGCATGTAGAGAGGCGCTGCTTAGCTTCCTCTCGATCTTTGTCTCTCTCCCATCTATCACAGCACTGATTTTGTTGAAGACACCGAGCATGCACCGCAACCCTCGTCGGCGACAGGTTTGCGAGAAGACGGTTGATGAGATGCACGGCGACTATTTTAAGCCACTGATGGAGGCCATGGTTCGGAAGCTCTGGTAGCTTCTGCAGGACAAGTTTCGGAGCAAAGTGTCCTCCGCCTGATGATTTAGACTTACAGCATTGCTGAGTGACCGTCCGCGGATCTCCGTAGGCCTTCCATTGCTTGATCTGTGCTAGTGTTGAAAGATACCATCCTCAAGCAGCATCGTCCAGCGATATCTTGCGCATTGGCATGGGTTTTGCATTTGCAGCCTTTGCGAAACTGACTGGTAAGATCGGGTGTGATCAGAGGCCAGGCGACATCCAGCTTCAATTAGATTGATGATTCAAGCACGAGCGTCCACGCACACGCGCGCGCGCACGCACGCACGCACGCACGCCCAGAGATGTGGGGACAAAGGTAAAGATGTGAACGGGGCGCGCAAGATTTTGATTTGAGCGCAGGCCGGGGCCTCTGGTGGTGTTGGCGACAACTTCCACTCGGAGGTCGTGCCGCCGCTGGAGAAGCGCCTCGCCGCTCTTTTTGAGGCCCATTCTTAAGCGGAGCGGTGCTCCCGGTCCCCGAAGATGGGTGTGGCGGGAACGGCTCTATGTCTGTCTGTCTGTCTGTGTGTGTCTGTGTCTGAAGAGATTCGCTTCCTCGTGCTTGGGACGGCGTTCTGAGGATGGTGTTGCCGAGCGGCGATGAGGCGAAATCCTGGGACCACCTGTCGCAGCTCATGGAGTGACTCGGCGATGAAGAAACAGCTTTGTGGGAGATCAGGCTGATTGCGAGGTCAGCTCGGAACAGTCGTCACAAGCTTGTCTTAGACTTATGCTCCCGACATCCGAACAACATGATTTTATGAAGCATCTTGCCATGAAATCACCAGGAAGAGAGGCCACCGGCACAGCTTCGGGAGACATGTGGGACGTCACTTTAAGGTGGGCCTTCAGCACCGGTGCGACCAAGAAGTCGCTGGTCGTGGCCGCTTAGACAGCTAAAGGGATATGATTTGCAGTTTAGCGCTCAAGTTGATCATTGCAGCCATCTGAGGCCTTCGGTGGTGGTGCCCTCATGAGACTTGCCAGCATGCCAGAGTTCCGCCACCGACCGCAGCAGATCTTAGCTGCTATTCGAGGAACGTCGCGGGTCTGTTTGCCTCGATCTTCTACCGTGGAAGCAAGCTGATCTACGCCCCTGGCCGAGCTTCCAGCTGCCTCTCTCAATTCTCAACAGCAAGTTGCTCCTTGAGGTGCCGACCACGCTTCTCGCCATGCACGACGTTACGACATCTCTCAAGACGTCGATTTGCTACAACGGACGATGCCTGGCATGGGAAGCACAGTGGGATGCATAGGCTCTGGGATGCCCACCCCGTGGGCCTTTCTGACAGGCAGGGCCATCAATGAGCATCAGGCACACTTGTCTTGTTCGAGCCCAGCCGCCGGGAGCCAAGGAAAGAACAACATCGGCTCCTTCTACGCGCCTCTGTGCCGTGGTTACAATTTCGGTTCGATTGTTTTTCTCTTGTCACTCTCGCATGCCCGTGCCTTCTGTCTCCTCTCGCTGAGCAGACGTGCAGCACGAAAGATTGAAGTTGAAAAAGTTTGAGAATTCATGATGATAAGTAGCAGTAGGACAGACGCCTACATCAGCTTCAAATTCCGAACTCCACTTCATCCTGAACCGCAGGAAGATCCTGATTGATGTGGGCTTCTGCCGAACGTTGCCCAGGCGCGCTGCTTGAAGCACTTGGAGACTCAGAGACTCTTCTTGGTGACATTCATGTCGCGTTTGCTTTGCGCGATCAGAGGCCATCCTTTGTCGAGTCTTGACATACTTTCTGGCTTACGATGGTGTTCTCTCAACGCAATTTACGAGAAAGTAGTGTGAGCAAGGCACAATCCGCACATGGCGCGTAGACTGTTAATTTAACGTTGACTGCTGAGTAGTTCAGCCTCACCTGGCATTGCACCGATGACCTCCAGTTGCATGACAGCTTCCTCCTTCGAACTTGAGACTCTTACTTAGCATCTGTTCTTAGAAGCACGAGAGGCTTCTCGCCGTCCCTCTCAGACTCTCAGTCCTACCGAAGCCCAAGCTAAGTGTGCTCGGTGAGCCAGGGCAGAGCTGTTTTCTGGCCTTGGCGAGCTCGCAAAAAATGCGGCGCGGGGCACTTAGCTTGTAGGCCGTGACCTGCATCGAATCGGCCCCAGACGATCCCAGACGGACTCTGCCTCGAAGTTTCGTTGTGAGTCCACCGGCTTTCAGCGAATCAAAGTCCAGAATCGAGTGGCCGCAGCCAGGAAGAAGACTCGAGAGAACTGTGGAGCTCGAGCACCGGATTCGGTGACCTTAGAATTCGGCGGAAGCTGCTGAAAGCTGGCTCTAGACTCTAGCCCCTAACTGTCAGAGCTTTGCGAAGAGGCACCTGGAGTGTCCTGCTTGGACGGGAGCACTCCTGAAGTCCGGGGCGGACACAAGGCTAAGGGCAACATCCATAATGAGGATAGCGGACCAGCTAGCAACCCTTATGCACAGCTAATGAGGGAGTCACCACTTCCTATAATGAGGGAAATTGTTCGAGTGGGTCGTCGCTGGTGGATGGGCAATGTGACATTCTGTGCACACTCGAGATCCGCAGTTAGGACTTTCAGTCAGCGAGCACGTTGTTGCTGAGGCTGCTGGGGGGGAAGCACGCGGATGGCTTCCGAAAGGCGGACCTTTGAGTTTTAGCTTTGGGTCGACGGTCCAGACGGTCAGTAGGGAGACACGAGCGGTAAGGCCTGTCAATCACCTCACCCGAGCGGTCCGAGTGTTCTTGCGCTAGGCCTTGAGCTCTGAGAGGATCAACTCGGATGCAGGCGGATCAGGCAGCTTGATCCTGCTCAGTCTCAGGTTGGGGCTCATGTGATGGTTGTTCTGAAGGTCCGTGTCTACGGCTTTCAAAAGACCGGCAAAGTGATAGAGTTTAAAGGGTCCGCGAAAGATCTGATAAAGCAAACGTGAAAGGAACATACTTCTGCGCGAAAGATGTGTCGACACACGATACCACACTACGTCATTCAAGCATGTCTTGCTTGCAGCTGCCGGCTTTGAAGTATGTAGCTCGTGTGAGGCGGGTGGCTGTTAGGATGCCGCCAAAGTACTCGAATGCCCCGCGAATTCCAAGCCTGTCGCTTTTGTAGCTGTGTCCATGTTAGCTGGTCCATGACACCTTGTAAGCCGTGAACCTGAAGCCCTACGGAGAATGAGTTCCTGCACCATTGCATCGTTTGAATCCCCAGCCCTTACAGGCTGTCGTCGTACCTTCTGCATGGCAAACATCTAACTTGAACGAGTCGTCAGTACTTGCCTTGACTCGTTCAAGTCACACGGGCCTGGAATTCGATCTTTAAGGCTGTCGGAATCTCATGCGGTTCAATGTGCAGCACAGGGGACCTGCGGAGCCTAAGGGGTTGTCGTGGTTTCGTGAGTGACCATGGTTTGTAAGTTTGGGCTCTGATTTCGCAGCGGATTGCGCGAAAGTTCCGCGAAAGCTCCGCAAAAGACTCCGCGAAAGCTCAAGTGACTCAAGTGTGTGTCTTGAAGGCAGTAGGCCGCTACAGTTTCTCTCGACAGCATAGCATGAGCTCTGTCATTGGGACCTAAAGACAGAAGTACAGAAACTCATGAGGGCCATAGTCCGAAAACAGGTTTAGACTAGATGCAGGAGGCTGCTGGTAGATACCATGGCCAGGGAAACAATGGTTGGTTTTTCAAGCCTGTATGTGTGCACGCATGTGTTTTTTAACTATACTGTATGTATACTACGTGGATACTACATGTATGTACGTTTGTATACACACACACCCATACATATATGTGTTTTGTTGTATCTGTGCGTGTATATAACATATACATGCACACACATGGCCGTAAATAATCTCCGCGAAGGCTCCGCTAAAGTAGCCGCGAAGAGAAAAAACACTTTTACGCGAAAGTTCTCACATCTGGTCGTTCCCAGATAAGTGTTACATTGAACAACCACCCTGTGGCTCACGGGGAATGGATTGAGCATGGTGAAGGCAGCTGGGCTCAGCTTTCCCGGCTCATGTGCTGAAAGATACTTGCTTGGTTGCCTTTCGTTCCCTGGCTGTGTCCTGTGTAAATCCACCCTACACCCATCGCTTTGCGTACCTTGACCAGAGGCGTTGAAGGGTTCTAGGCCGTCGGCCGGCGAGGGACATCCCTAGCATACAAGGCGACGAGTTCACCATGGACGATCACATGCTCATGGAGCTCTTGGCTCTGGGCATTGATGCCAAGATGTCAGTGCCACCCGGCGAGTGATATGTCTGCCAGATGCATGGCAAACCCTTCCGTAGATTATTTTCCAAAGGCTTCAGTCGTCGTGGCATGTGCTGCCCATGGATTTTTTGAGGCCCTTAAGCCTTAAGCTACAAGTCGTGCGGCTGGTTCGAGGCTGGCAAAAGATGCCTACGAAAGGAATGCTGGCATGATCTTCGAATATGGGCACACCGTGTCCCACGCCATAGAGAAGGCTCCAGCTGAGTGATTTTTTTGTTATCGTAGCATCATACAGATTAGCATGCGTACATGTTTCCCCCGCTCGTTAGTTTCCAAGCCTTTTTGCACCCTAGCATCGGGTTTGGGCTCTTCTTTCGGAGCGCGGCACAGCCCGGAGGCCTATGGCGACGGCGTGGTGCCCCATGGCCTGGGTGTCACCTACGGCATGCTCTCCAGCTCTTCCGGAAGCAAAGATCTACTGAGACTTTTTTGCCACCTGTACGAGTGCACTGGAATGTCCTGATGCCCTGTTGATCCATGTGTGATAGTCCATATTGGGTCATGCCCAAATATCCACTCCAAATCCTCCCGGAGCTGTTTTCAGTGCGCCTTGATTCTTCGAGCATCTTGGAGCTACGCAGTCCCGCTCGGACTCGAGTCAAAGGCTCCTACGCTGCAGAGCAGCTGGGGATCATGAGCAAGGAGCCACGGGCTGCGCTTAGACCCCTGCGCAGAAGCTCCCAAGTTACCAGACTCGCCTTCTGGCCATGTTTCGTTAACTGTCTTCTTCAGGCTCTTATCAGTATTGCTCATTGAAGGCTACTATAGCTAGGTTTTACTTTCAGCCTTATTATCGTTCGCACCATCATCAGCAGCTCAACTAGTAACCTGTAGCTAGGCTTTTGTTGATTCCTCTCTCTTGCCGTCGGTCCAGTGACTACCACGTTTGGTCTGAAGGAGGCCCGCCAGGACCATGACAAGCTCTGCTGGCTGCCTGGCAGAGCAAAGTCAACATCGGGGGAGTTTCCGAAACGGGGCGAAGGCTGCTTTCGGGCTTTTTCAGCTTTAGGGGTCAGAGTTTACCGGTTGCAGATCATTACTACTTACTACTCAGCACGATTGCTATTAGAGGCATAAGGAAGTAGTAATAGTAGAAGTCCTCGTCGTCGTCGTAATGGCAGTAGTAGCAGTGGTGGTAGTGGTAGTGGTAGTGGTAGTGGTAGTGGTGGTAGTGGTAGTGGTGGTAGTAGTAGTAGTAGTAGTAGTAGTAGTGGTAGTACTAGCAGTAGCAGTAGTAGTAGTAGTAGTAGTAGCAGTAGTAGTAGTAGTAGTAGTAGCAGTAGTAGCAGTAGTAGTAGTAGTAGTAGCAGCAGTGGTAGTACGAAGTTGTCACTCACGGTGTGTGATGTCGCTCACTTGTTCGGTTCCGCACTTCGATTCTCAGGTCCAGTGCAGCTGAAGTGGAATGGGCGAACGCCTTGGTTGCTCCACGACGCTTCGTTGATCCTTTGTGCGGTCTCTGAGGTCATGTCACTCGCAGCTGTGCCCTTGCACTGAGTGGTGCGTGAGCTCCCATGCCTTGCTTGGTCTACTGAGCGATGCTGCTGCCTAACGCCATGAACAGCAGCTGAAATTCCAAAGTGAGCTTGTTCAGTTGTTGGTGCAGTCCACAATTCTTGTGGATGCGCACTGACTTTTAACGAAATCTTGGATCTGTCCTCCAAATTGTGAGCCTCTGCAAACATTATGCAATCGGCTTTTGGGTGCGGCGACTGCTGGGCTTCGGCCCGGGTCCTTGTGAACGCTTGGCCCTACGGGGCGGTGCAGCTGCTCCTTCATGTTACTTCACCGGGAGTGTTTAAGACATTGTTGCCATCGGGCAACCGGGCTTCAATAGCTTGCTCGCTGGCACGCGAGGCGGACCCCTGGACGTTCGTCGCGAATGAAAGGAATTAGTAGTAGTAGTAGTAGTAGTAGTAGTAGGAGGAGGAGGAGGAGTGTAGTAGTAGTAGTAGTAGTAGTAGTAGTAGCAGCAGCAGGGGTAGTAGTAGTAGTAGTAGTAGTAGCAGCAGTAGTAGTAGTAGTAGTAGTTGTTGTTGTTGTTGTAGTAGTAGAAGTAGTAGTAGTAGTAGTAGTAGTAGTAGTAG